TATATTTAATTACAACGATTCCACGAGCGGCCACTGGGCTCAAATCACCAGCCGATGCTGGTACAACAAGGGCCCGTGTTGAAACTGATGCTACGAACATGATTACAGCACTTCATCTCAGACTTTAGAGAAATGCGCAGTGAATACCGCTACAAGAGCAGAGAGCAAACTTATTCTGAATAAATTGGTTCACAGTTGATCGTTCAGAACAGGGTTGTAAAATCAACACCAATGGGCTACTCGGCATAGCATGTTCCGAGAAAAGAGAAAAGAACAAGGGACATGCCCTGAACCTGAACTAGTCAGTCAATGAAGACCTCAAGACAAGCTCCCAAATGCGAGAGAACAGATGTACTGCTAGTTAACCACACCAGACTGAAAGAGCTCTGCCTGGATCACGAAGCCTGGGGCTTCTCCTCGGCTTTCTTTGGCTGCAAAGTAAAAACATATATCAAGATTTCCATTGAGAATTCACGAGAGGAGGAAAACAAACTCATACCCCCTCCGATCCAAATTAATTAACGCTCAATTAATTTGGATCGGAGGGAGTACCAAAGTACTGAGCAGGTCTGCTACATCGGATGGAAAATTCAAGCATGCATCCTGGTGGGGTGCCATAAAGAAACCCCCCTGGTGGGGTGCCCAGTCCACCTTGTGATCCTACCAATTTCCGGTGCTACTAACAAGTGACTAAGATGGGATTGCTCACAAGCAACTTAAACATGTGTACCAAAAACACCCGACCTGGCATGAATGACGCGGATATACCAAGGAGCACCTCAATTCAATAAAGCAATCAATCTTGTAAATATGTACTTCCTCCGTTCGAAAATAGTAGGATCGGTAGGAACGAGTAGTATGTTTTTTCTTAATCCCTAGGAACACAAGGGTTTAATACAATGATGGGGAACATCTGTATAAGAAGAAAATAAATCTACCATGCATGTCCATGGTATCATTGAGACTATAAACAAAACTAGAAATAGCACCCGAACTTTGAAACCGATAATCTCTAGGAGCAACGTGACTGCATATGACTTGGATATCTCGAGAATATTGCATCTAAACATCACCAAAATGAAAAGTACATAACTCCTAAATTTTATGTGTAAATAGCTCTCCAGCACATCAATGGCATATACCATGGCCCAATAGGAACAAATATGCTTCTTCAAACATGAAAGTGGGCATGGCAGGCTGGCAGCAACCGGAGATAAGTATGTGTAGTGAATTTCATTCAATTATAGGAAAAAAGGAAATAAAATGTTGAAAACAAGAACACCATACTTTTTAAGGAAAATAACATTTGATGTGTGAAACACATCTGGCAACAGCATCAAATCAAATTCTATGCTACTGTGAAGAATAAAGGGTCCGCAAGCAGAAAGAAATGCATTGTCATACACAACATTTACAGAAGTATGTCTGTACTGTATACACAGGTAGGTAACAGTAGGGATGCAAGCGGGCATCCCGCATAAGCCCGCCAAAACAAGAATTTAGTTCAAACTGAACTAAAGCTGAACCGGGAGGATTATAACTAAGTTGATCTACTTTGACTACGAAGCCTGGCGGATCGGGCGCCTCCCTGCATCCCTAGGTAACAGTATGGGCAATTAGAAAGTACGTATATGATACCCAGGAACTATTGGAGCTTGCAATGTGCATTTCATTATCTATGTACTTACAAAACTTGTGCCCAAGACAAATGTCTGGTTGTGTCTGGTTAAAATTGTTACATGTCAGGTAACAATACAAGCGGGTAATTAGAAAATAAGTGTTATCTACAGTCCAGGAACTAGTGTGCAATGCGCAGATGCTTGTCTGAGTATTTCAATGGAAATATTGTGCCCAAGAGAACCATATGGAAGTTCAATCTAATTGTTAGTAAACTCTTCCTCGAAAGATAAGCATAGCCATGCAAGTACATCTTACATATCATACTGTCTTCTTCTACTAATGGCAGTTTCTAAACTAGTTTTAAAACAACTTCAATAAAAATGTTACTAAGTTATGACAAATGAAACCATGCTTGATTATAGTAAATTTAAAATCAAACTATCTTCAGGTTCTACTTATGCAGATTGGAAATTCTTTAGAAACTAAAATTTATCTGCATTTAGGAACACAAAGCACTCTTTATTATCTAGATTAAATAAAGGTGTTCCTAAAAAGGTAAGAATCCCATGTAAAAGGTTGACTGAGGAGGCATGTAAAATGGCCACTCAATATGCTCGTGCAATTTATTTTTTCCGACAAAACAGGCAGGATGACTAACTACTGCGTTAATGAAAAAGAACATGTTTATGTCTTATTACAAAGGTAACGAGCCAAAGCAGTATTCTCTCAATAAAAAATGTCAAGGGCTACTGGGCTAGGGATAGTACGTAAGCATTTCTTTCCTAGGCACACGTTTCTGTAGGAGTGGAACATCAAAATGTCTAGACAAATCATGGAACGCTGACCTACGAAATTAAACCCTGAGAGATTATATGAACAATATATAAAACCAACTAATAAGTAGGAGTAGGTGAACAAAACAAGAAAAAAAAAGTCAAAATGGTGTATAGGTGTTTTTGCTTGACTGCCCTATGGACACCCAAGAATAAAGGCACTGCTAAGATTAGTAGACGTCTTTTAAAAATAAGAACAAAATAAATAACAGATACTACCGACAGCTACAAAAAAGGATGATGCCCTAAAATGCATGCAGCCAAACCATATGAATGATGGTTAAAGAGATCTAATATGCAATCAAAGTTACCGGTCAACATGACATCTTATTGACTTTAAAAATCAAAACCCAGTTTTTTACTTCCAATGTTATGAATGACTACAAAAGAGTATGTTCATGAGCCAGGGCTAAATGCATAATACCAGCCTATGGGCTTGCAGTCATAGTTCCCCTTATCGAACTGGATTGTAAATGCTAAAACCATTGGTGATCCTAATTCCTTCTATAGAACTGGATTAAATGCCAAACGATATTTATCAAGTTGCACATAAATAGTACACTTTGACGTTTTCTTATAAAAAAAGGCACAGTACACCTTGACAAACAGTATACAAGAACCTGAACTTTATGCAGCAGCTAGAAAGGATCATGCATTTTAATGTCATTTCCAATGATTTTCCCAGTACACATGCACACAATCAATCGGTGAAGTGATTCAATGCCAGAAAAAAAATAAGTATGCATACATGTTCGTTGGTACTCAATGAAATGAGCAATAATTGCAGACCAGCTATATAATCACCTGACATACAAAATGTTGAAGAGAACAAATTACACAATGTTAGCAATGTTTGATGAAAAGAAGGAAGGTAAAAGAGGCTAGATAAAACCCGAAATGAGCATCCAGCATACATAGACAAATATGCCTCAAGTGATATATGTGAAACATGATATAAGGCTACAGCCAAAGCACAACACAGGTAACGCTACATCTGTACTATTAATTAACCAAAACATAAATTTAAAATTTGTAGTAATCCTACTTATCCATTCTACACGTGAATAATAGCATAACACTCTGACGCACATAAGAATGTTATGCATTGTAAAAAGGGTTCCATGACCACATATACAGGTTGAAAGAGCGACGACGTAAGCAACTGTCTGTATTCCAATGTTTGGACGAGGGATTTCAGTACACAACGCGCACGCACGCAAGGTGTTCGACAGAAAGTGAAGTTAACGAAACAGGAGTAGAAGAGGCACCTTGATGCCGGGGAATGACATGCCGAGCTCCTCCTCGGGGATGACGACGGGCCACTTCTCCCCGGCCTCGCGGAAGAGCTGCTCGGTCTCGAGGAGGCGGCCGCGAGCGAGGATCTGGTCGCGCATGCCCTGCGCGGTGGCGCCGTCGGCGGCGACGAAGGCCTCCTCGGCGCCGTTGAGGTAGGTGACGAGGACGCGCGGGGGCGGTTGGGCCTTGGGGTCCTCGGCCGCGGCCGGGGAGGGCAGGCGCCGAAGCTCGACGGAGCAGGTGGGGTTGGAGTCCTTGGCCTTGCGGCCGTTGCACTGCGCGAGGAGCTCCACGGCCGCCGCCTTGCGCGGGTCCAGCGGATTGTACTCCACCACAACCCTGGACAGGAACTTGAGCATCTCCTCTGGCCGCCGCTTTCCCCGCCCGCTCGCCGCCTCCGATCCGCTTCCAGAAGACGG